CGTGGAGGTGGTGGTGACGGTGCCTAGGAGTGCACGTCCCCTGGTGGGAGCTCCCAGCTGCCGTGGCGGCTGGGACTCTGTCCTCACTGGGTGGATCCTTGTGCTGGGATGGGGTCCGGCACCTGTGGCTTCATGGAGGGAGATGCCCACGGCAGCTGAATTGCCAGGAACGTGTGCTTATGTCTGGCGAGGTTGGGCAGGCTTGTGGGTGCTCCTGTAGGTCCGGTGGTGGCTGGGCCCTGTCCCCCGCGTGCCTGCAGCCCTGGGTGGTGGTGTGAAGTGATGTCTGTCAGCTCCTCTCCTGCCGCGCTCTGGGAGCAGTGGTTTCCTGCGGTGGGCAGGAGCCTTGGGCAGGGTCGGCTGCCCTGGGGGGTCAGTGACGCAGAGGCAAGATGGTGTGGGCTCGGGAGGCTGTCCTGGCCTCTGACTGCCCTTCTGCCCTTGTGGTTTTGTGAGGATGGAGGGCGGTCTTCTCGACTCCAGGGAGCAGACGTGCTTCTGCTCCGACCGTCTCAGCAGTGCTCTCCAAATGGGACCTTTCTTGGGGGCCGTTTCCTCTGAGGCTTGAACGTGGTAAGTTAGAGCTAAGGTTTGGATCTGCAGGCAACAAATCTTCACCTAGAGCAGAAGCTGGAAGAGACAGCAGCAGAGAGGTGTGCGTGGGCCCGCGTTCGAAAAGCGCCGGAGGACTCAGCACGTTTCTAGTCGTGTACGTGAGGTCATTTACGAGCATGATTTATATACGATCGCCCTGACACGCTCTTCACATTAGAGGGTGTGAGCTGCGTGGTGACGGGAAGTTCTGTATGCGGGAGCCACCCAGGAGCCAGCAGGGCCCCGACGGGCTTTGTCACGTGCAGGAAGCGCGAGTGAGCGGCGTAGGCCGGCGTGTTGGCGCACGGTCACCTGTTGGGGCCGCGCGTGGCGTCCCGAGCAGGCGCTGCTGCCAGTGGGGGCTGGGTGTGGTGGGACCGGGCGCCCTGGCTGTGCTCCTGCTGGCCTGGCTTCTGTCTGTGGCCCGCTTCGTGCCTCCTGTGCTGTCCCCGACTGGGAACCTGCTTTGGCGGGAGCGGCTCTGCGGGCTTTTCCTGTTGGCCGCCGTTTGCGGTCTCTCCGTCTTCAGGCAGACGACATTAAGCCATTTTGAGATAATGAACTTCAAGTGTAATTTAGTTTTTCTTTATCTTCTTTGGATCTTGCTGTTGCGTTTATTAAAATGTGATGTTTTACGTAGTTTATTCTTCTTACATTTTCTTGTGGAAAGTGCCTTGAAATAAATAAAATGTGAGAATACCCTGGTAGTCTGCGTTCCTGATACCGTGAAGTTGTGGGAGGAAACCCCCGTTTGGAGTCTTTACGAGGTGTCGGGATTATTGCAAATCCAGTGAGAGCTAACGTACTTGGGATTTGGTTTGGATTAAGGTTTCCAGGTTCTAGAACAGGCAAATGTGTCTCGGGACTGGTCTTCGGGATTGACTGAAGACCCCGTGTGTGAGGCGTCAGGAGCAAGGAGGCGGCTCTTCCTGCAGTCAGGGTGCTTCCGGGGGACAGTCTTGGTCAGGCAGCGTGAGGCCTGTGTCCTGGGACAGTGTTGGTTTGGGGGACGGGCGGGGCCGCGGCTTCAGAAAGAACTGTGCACATTCTACGTTCAAGTCCGTGGTGTCTTTGGGGGAGCGGGGCAGGACCCGCTTCTGGGAGTTACTGTGTGGTCCCAGCATGAGCGGGAGGCCAGACTGGGACCGCCAGGCCGGCGTGCCTGCCCCCGAGATGCGAGCACAGTGGGTGGTCGGGGGCCAGGCCGTGTGGCCTCAGAAGCACCGTGGTGTGGCGTTTGATGTGTTGTTTGGAAACCACGCGCTTTGCTTCTATAGCGGGTATGTTTCTGTTTCAGAAATGTGTTGCTTTTTCGGATTTAAGAGTAAATTATATTGTCTGCGTCAGTCATGTGACTTCGGTGTCCCTCCGTGGCCAGCCGCAAGCCTCCGTGCGCCCCTGGTTCCGAGTCCGCGTTGCTCCTGAGGGCACGTGTGCCCGCCACAGCGTCTTCTGAGAAACGCAGAGTAGGTGGCTTTTGGTGCCTCTTCTTAAATTCGTGGTCAGCTGCGTATGTTTTTCTCAGAGTGGTTGCCTGGAAGGTCTTTTGTGTTTTTCCACACAAGGATACTCGGATAAGAATAAGGAACTCAGTGTGGCACACGGTCCTCCGGGAGCCCGTCCGCGAGAGCCGGCGGAGGAAGCTTCAGCCTCGCTCACCTTGAGGCTCTGCTGTTGCGTCCCCTCCGACCAGCACCAGCCGGGGGCACGTGTGCCGTCTGTCGTCTGTTCTCCAGAGTGCTGGTCCTGAACTTTCATTTTTGTGAGGGAAATAGATTGGGGCCACTTACCGCATGATTTTAACCTGAGAAGTTATTTTTTTTTAATACTCCTGAATCTTTCCAGACATTCAGAGTAGACGAGCGAGGCGGTGAGCGCCAGGGCCCTTCTCCCCGTAGGGACTGTGCCACGGGCAGCCGGGGTTGTCAGCGCCTCGTGTGAAAGGCAGTTGTGGGACACTTGGCAGAGACGCGGAGTGACAGCTTTCCAGTGCCTTCTAGTGAGTGCAGAAGTGAGGTGCCTCGTGCCAGAGCAGGGGCATCACGGACTGTGGCCCCCACGGGTGCATGGACATTGGAGAGGGGAGAGCAAGCCTCCCCATCTCTCTTCCCTAGGTGGCGATGGTGTCTGAGGCCTTCTTCATGCCAGCCTGCCCCTCCTTGCAGGAGGCTGTGCCGCGGTTCTGAGAGCCGTCCCCACGTGGAGCACTGAGCGCGTGCGCTTGCGCTCTGGACACCGTCTGTGGTGTTTGGCTGGGACCACAGTCCCTGGCGCGTGAAGCCTGTCTGTCTTGGATGTTGTGCCTTAATTCCCAGATGCCATCGAGGCCCTCTTCCCGTCCTCTTCGTGATTGACTTCCGTGGATGTAGAGACAGGGTTTGCGTGGGCCGTGGGCATCTGTGGCTATGCGGACTCTGGGCCCTGGGGGGTCCTGAGCCGCTCGGCCCCCGCAGGACACTAGGCCCCAGCTCCAGCAGCCCGAGGGCCTTGGTGGCCGGGGAGGGGCGGTCTGGGTGAGCTGGTCGTCGTATCCCTGATGCTGGGGGCCAGGGGTCTTTCTCGTTGCAGGGTGGATGTGGTGGGGCGGAGACGCCTCTGTGTGGTCGGGAAGGCCCCAGCTAGAAGGCCAGGTGGACGGGCTCACTCTGACCGTGGCACAGAACGTCTGTCGGACTCCTCTGTACTCCGCTCCAACCACAGCCTTTGGCAGAAGGAGTGAGAACCGGGGGCAGTGGCTTTATCCGCACGTCCTGAAGCAGGTCGCTCCGCCGGCCCCCTGCCCAGCTGTGGACGCAGCCCAGGCTAGCGTGCGTGCCGTGTGCTGCGTGCTGTGGGGCCGTGCCTCCCGTCTGGAGCTGGGGGTGAGGAGACGAGGCTGCCGCTGGCCCCTGCTCCTGGGACTGCTGCACTCAGGTGTCGGAGTGCTGCCTGGCTGTGACCTCTCTCCCTGCCACGCTGCGACAGACTGAGGCATCACGCGGCTGGCCGTCTCCCAACTGGCTTTTGGAAGGGAAGCAAGCCGGAGGCGCATGGAGGACTCCCCGGCTAGGCCACAGGGGCCCCGGGGGGCTGGGAGGGGCGGGCAGCAGAAGCACCCAGACCCAGGGGGAGGGGGCAGTGCTGGTCCCTGCACGGCTCCAGACTCATGGGCCCAGCGCGTCCATAATCTCTGGGCGTCCAGGCGTGTTTTTAGCGTGAAGCGTGTTGCACAGCGCTGTTTTCAAGACTCACGTAGTGAACTCACCGGCACTTTGAAGAGAATGATCTGTTCCAGAACCTTCAAAAATGACACGTGGAGAACCTGTATTGCATTAAATTCATTTATTGTCATAAAGTTCGTCTTCCTGGTCTCCAGTGACATCACACACAGTCCATTGCCCTTGTTTCCCTCTACCGCTGTTAATTCTGCTCAGAAGATAGCTTCGTCCCTCCTTTGGTTCCTGTGCACCTGGAGGAGGGGGCACAGCGGAGGCCCGGCCGGTTCGCTGCATCCCAGTGGGGCTGGCTGTGCAGGCTGGGGCAGGTGGGAATCAGCCCCTGGGGCTGGAGGGTGGGGAAGGTGGGCCCTGTGCTGCGGGGCTCTCCCAGGTTTGGTTCTCAGGGCAGCGAGAAGCCTTGGCAAGATTGGCCAGGCTGCCGCGAGGTGGGTGGACTGGGGGGCGGGAGGAGGCAGCCGCACAGGGCGGCGCAGTGCGGCCCGGAGTCCACTCCTTGCCCTTGGGTCGCGGTGTGTGCGCTGCTGGCTGGGTCCTTCCTGTGGACACATGAAGCCCCCTGCGAGGGAGGTCCAAGGGGCCCGCTTGGGGCCTGGCAGAGCCTGCGTGCTCGGCACACCTTTGCGGGGAGCTCCACCCCCTTCTGCAGCTGCCTGTTGTGTGGACTCTGGCCCTTGGCCGCCCAGCACAGACTGGCCCAGGATGACGAGGCTGGAGCCCACCTCCAGAGATCCACATCGACAATTGGCTACTCCTGACTGAACTGTCCTTGCACTGTGTGAAGACGGTCCCCGATGCGCTCAGCCCTGTGATGGGCAGGGTGGGGGTGGGGGACCACCACCATCCCCCAATTCACGGCAGGCGTCCAAGGTCAAAGTCAAAATGCCCTGTGCCAGGACCACCCAGCACGGCCCCTGCACAGCCCCACCATAGCCTGGTCTGTCCAGCCTGCGGCAGGGAACCCTGCGCCCTCCCGGTCTGCTTGCGCCGGTGCCCCCAGGAGCAGCAGGGAGGTGGATGCTGACAGCCGCCCTCGGAGCGCCGGGCGGGGATGGGGCGGGGACGAGTGGTGTGCTCCGCCCCGCCCGCCCGCCCGCCCGCCTGCCCGCCCTTCGCGGTGGCCGTCGGGGGCGACACGTCCTAGGAGCGCCAGACGGAAGCGCCGCTGGGACTGACACGTGGCCTTGGGCGGTGCTGCCCGTGTGGGTCGGCCAGGCAGGAGCCCAACCTGGACGCGCTAAGCCGTGTGCCCGTGGACGGCCGCCCCCGATGCAGCCGCAGCCGCTGCCGCTGGAGGAGGCCCGCAGGGACGGGGCCGAGAATACCCAGTGGTCCAGGTGGGGCCAAGGTGTGGGTTGGGGGGAGTGGGGGGAGCGTGGTGGCTTGGGAAGGGGCCGAGGCCACCACTCCAACCCCTGAGGTCGTGTACTACCCAGACCCAATCCAGGATCCTCCTCCCTTCCATCCAGTCCCAGGGCCAGCGAGTGCCCCTTGAGCCCTCTGCAGGCCCTCCAGGGTCCTGGGGTTGTGCAGGCAGGAGGAATTGCAGGAGGCCTGCCCGGGGGCAGGGGGTGTTATCCTAGATGGTGGAGAGCCGGCTCACAGGCACAGCTGGGAGTCCTAGGACTGACCCTGCCAGGTAAGACCACACGGATTTCCAGGCCTGAGAGCCAGGGGGAGTGGTACAGGGTCACCCGGCAGGGCAGCTGGGGAGCCTGTGGGTGGGGGGTGGGTCTGAGTCCTGCCTCCACCTGCCAGATGTGTGCTGTGGTCTCCATGGGCGGGGCCCAGGCCGACTGCCCACTCCTTTTCATATTCTGTGTCCATGTCCACTGCCGCGTGCAGAAGTCCCCAGGGCAGGAACACATGCGACGGCCCCTCTGAGGAGACCCCAGACCCCAGACCACATGCCTCAGCCCTTGCTCTAGTTCTGTGGACCACGGCCCCTCAGGCCAGCCAGCTGGACGCTGGGTCCAATGTTGGGCCCTGGGATCCCAAGGCCAGTCCACCTCCAGCTCTGAGTGCCCGGGGAGCCTGCTCTCTGCAGGGCGACGGCTGGTTCCTGCCCCTGCGTCCAGGCACAGGCTTGCAGGAAGCCTCTAAGGGGAAGCCCCCCACCCCCCAGAGGCTGGGGCAAGATGAGGGCAAAGCTAGTGGGGAAGCTGGAGAGGGGCCGACATTGCGAAGTGGCCCGCAGAAGCTGGAAGTTTCCTGCAGGACGGGGTGTGGAGAGTGGGGTGGAGAAGGGCCGGGTCTCCCTGCCAAGCATCCCCGGGACAGGGCGCTGCGCTCAGGGGTAAGGCCGGGTCCAGGAGTGCCCTGCGGCCTGCCTCGCTCTTGTCTTCCCTCCCTGCTGTCTGGTTATTGAGGTGCTGATCCAGGCTTCATGGCCGTGTGGGAAGAGTGTTGTGGCTGTGGCTACAGCATGTTCTGCAAACTTCCCTCTCGGGTTCGGTTTCTGTGGCTCTGGCTGGCCTTCTCTTAACTTCTTCCCTCTGTGGCTCAGGAGGGAGCACCTGCAGCCCCCCCGGCCCTTGGCAGGTGAGGCAGCAGTTCGGGGAGGGGTCTGGGGGGGTCCTGGATGGACCTGAGCTCTGCTGGGATGAGGTCATCCCCACCCCCACCCCTGAGTGGACAGTTATGTCAGTCACAGGAAGTGTGGCAGTTTATTGCAGCTGATGCGGTGTGCCCTCCGCGTTGACAACCTTGCATCTGCTCTTGTGGCCCTGGGAGGCAGGGCTGCCACTCATCAGCCGTGTCGCTGGGGTGGGGGCAGCCGGTGGCCCCGGACCTGTGTGTTCTCTCCAGGCCTGCAGCGCTGGCCCAGTTCCCTTTTCTGAATCAAGGAGCCACGTGGCCACGCATTTGCTCAGCCGTGGATGCTTCTTATGCACAGGGGCCGTTGGCAGAAAGCACAAGGTTCTAGAAGGTTCATAGGAAGCATTTTGCTGAGTTCAGGGCATGGACCTGAGGCCCAGGACCGGGCAGAGTGAGCAGGATGGAGCTTTCCTGGCTCGTCCTGCCGTAGCCTCTGTGTTCCCAGACAGCCCTCCGCAAGATCAAGGAGTCTGGGCCTGGCGTGCTCACCAGCCCTCAGGCAGCTGTCCTTGTCGGGTCGCCGCCTCTGGCCAGACTTGCTCATTCTGTGTCCCCACCAGCTGTAGAGGAAGTCACTTCAGTGCCTGTCAGCTCAGGGCCTGGGGGGCCTCCAGGGCCCAAGGAGGAAGCCCGCAGCACCTAGCCCCACACAGGCTCACAGCAGACTGGTGGCCTGCACGCTGAGGGCCTTTCTTGGCTTGCTGTGGTCATGAGGAGGCCAGGGGGCTGCATCGCGTCTAGGTACGGGCCACCCTTCCCAAGCGGGTCAGCCTCAGCTGGCCTTCCGGTGTTTCTTTCTTTCTTTTTTTTTTTTAAAGATTTTATTTATTTATTTGACAGACAGAGATCACAAGTAGGCAGAGAGGCAGAGAGAGAGAGGAGGAAGCAGGCTCCCCGCTGAGCAGAGAGCCCGATGTGGGGCTCGATCCCAGGACCCTGGGATCATGTCCTGAGCTGAAGGCAGAGGCTTCAACCCACTGAGCCCCCCAGGCGCCCCCGGTGTTTCTAACTGGATTTCTCATGGGAGCTCTTGGGCTCACCAGGAAGAGGCCCCCAATGGCCAGGTGGGCAGGTGACCCTCCATGGCTTTGACCACAGAAGGGAATAAAGCTCCTTTGTGTGGGCCCCTTCGGACGGTGGCTGTCAGGGGATGTTGAAAGCTTTGCTCCCATGTCCGGCTGTCCTCCTAGTGCCCTCGGGCAGGCACATGGATGCTGGCAGTGAGCCTGAACGTGGAGGCACAGGGATACTGTGGGCCCATGTGGGTCACCCGGGATGGGGCATCTGGAGGCCACAGCAATGCCTCGGGGCAGGCACACCCCCAGGGGCTCCACGGGCGGCAGCCGGCTAGGCACAGGCCGGCAGCTGGCCCGGCTCGAATGGGCCATTTGGATTGTGTTCCTCTGGGCCTCCCTAGTAGGCCAGCAGGGCTGTTTGCTCGGAAATCCCTGATAGGCCTGCTGCCCTCAGGATGGGCACATGGGGACGGACACCGGGGTGAGTGCTCACAGGGCGGGTTTGGTCTAGGCCCAGGGAGGGGCACTGGGTAGACGGGCTGTTCTCTTCAGGTTTGGAACCCCGGAAGAGACAGATGCCCGAGCCCACAGGGTCCCATATCGGGGGCAGATGGCCCCTGAGCAAGTGCAGATGCCCGCCCCCCACCCCCTGGCCCTGCCACGACCTCATGGTCTTCTGTTCTGGATAGAAAAGTAGCTGAGAGGGAGAGCCGGTGAGCTGCCCTCCAGGCCGGCCCCTCCATGCTGCTTTCTCCAGCAGGTGAGGCCACTGAGACCTGTCCGGTCTGCCCTGTTGTCTTGGCTTCTGAATCATTCCAGGGACATTTTAAGAACCAGGAAGTGGGGGGGGCATGATGTTGAGGGGTCACTGGCCCATTTCCCAGTGGAGTGCCCTCCCCCCAGCCTAGCCAAGGCAGGGTCTGGTGTCTGGCTTCTGGATTGACAGAACTGGGTGTATTTTTAGCACAGGACCCTATTTCCCACTGGACTCATGTGAGCGCAGAGGGCAGCAGAGGGGTGCCCCAGAGTCCCACCCATGGCACCCCTTGGACACCAATATCTAGCTTGAAATCTGTGGTCCCACCTCTTCCCCGTGCACGTGGAGGGTGGGCGCAGACGGCGCCCCAGCCCCTCTGCCTGCAGAGTTCTCTACTGCGCTGCACACCCCATGGAGAGCCGGCCGGCGCGTTGGACCTGGAATTCCCAAACCAGCCCCAGATGGGGCCTGGCCTACAGATATGGGTCTGCTGGGAGACCGAAGGCCGGGCTGTTGGAACCGGACTCATTCACCCCAAACCCCCTCGTGGTCCTGGCGAACCTCTCATCAGCTGTGTCTGCTGGTGGGACTGTGGCCTCTTCGAGGGCAGCGGCCATGGAGGGATGGTCCCGCCGCAGGCCTGGCCAGGCGGAGTGCCTCCTCCTCCTGACTATGGACAAGTACATGGTGGTTTGCAAGGGGGATGCTCGCACATGGGCATGCCGGCCAGAGGACGTGGACATGGTGGCCTTACCTCCCTCCCAGGCAGTTGCAACGGCTCCGGACATCGGGAACTTGCTGGTCACTCTGCTGTTTACTGACCCATCAAGGGGCAGATGTCACGGGCGTGAGCCCTTCTTCTTTGAGGAAACAGGCTCCAAGAGGCCCATCCACAACCTCAACCAGAGGTGCCCACGGGCTAGCCGTGCGCCCCACGGATGGCAGGGGCAAACTCACACTCCCCGGTGAGTCCCCAGAACGACTCCCAGGGTCGGCCGTCCACCCTGCTGGGCGGGGCAACCTTGATGTGCCCCTGGCCAGCTCTTCCCCTGGAGAGGCGGGCCGGGTGTCAGGTTGGGACCTGCCTGTGGGGTGACAGACACATCTCATTAGGCCCATCGATCTGCTTCCTGGCTTGGGCGCCACCTGCCGGCGAGAAGGTGCCCTCAGATGTAGGAGGTCGTTCTTCCTGGGGGAGAGGCCGGCCGCCTGCCCCCGTGCCCTACTGGGGACGTCTGGTGCGGGTGGGACCCCTGAGCTCCCCGCCAGTCTGTTGCCCTCACTGCCTGCCCCTTGGCGCCACGCCCACCGCCTGAGGCATTGCCAGCCACCCCAAAGCCCCTGCCGCCGCAGCACCCCTGCCCATCTCCCGCCCACATGAATGGCACCCACAGCTCCTCCCTCTCTCATCGTAGAAAAGTCCGCTTTGTCTCTGAGAACAGTTCTTGATTTCCAGAGTCTCTCTGAAGGGTCCAGGGTCCCCTATGCCCAGGGCACCTCCTGCCACATCTGTCTGTGTCCTGCCTTCGTCCCGTCAGCAAATGTCAACACGGCACTAGGAGCCAAAGCCCATTGTTCGTGGAGATCCTGCTGTTTGTTTTGATGCCCCAGGACCCCATTTGGGGTCCCACGTGCATGGGGTTGTCATCTACCCCTGGCTGATGCAGTTTCTGACTTGCCTGGTGTCAGGGCCAGTCAAGGAGCAGGGGCCAGGAGTCTGAAGGATGATCCCTGTGTGGACACCTGCCCTGGCAGGCAGGGCTGCTTCAGCCCGGCCCAGGTTCTCCAAGAGCCGACTGCCCTGAAGGCGCCGTGTCCCCTGCCCGAGGTCCTCTGCTGGGCAGACACCGCTTTCCTGGGCACCCTCTGGGGACCCACTGTCCGGCTCCCACCCTGTGGGAGGCCCTCCCTCGGCCTCAGCCCCAGCACCCCCTGGGCAGCTTACTGAGCTGTCAGCTGCTTGGGACCTGGGTGCTCTGGTCCAGTCCCAGGGGTTACAACCCTCCAGCTGCCGCCCGTTTTACCTGGCTGGTCGTTCCCGGTCCTGCTGCTGTGAGAGGCTCTTTTGCAGTCTCAGCCACAGACCTGGGGACGGGGTGTTTGGAGGAGGCCGTGCTGCTCCTCCAGGACTGATGCGGCCCCTTCTGTCCTGCAGGCCCGAGTGCCAGGCGTGGACGGGAACGCTGCTGCTGGGCACATGCCTGCTGTACTGTGCCCGCGTCAGCATGCCCGTGTGCGCCGTGTCCATGAGCCAAGACTTCGGCTGGAACAAGAAGGAGACCGGCACTGCGCTCAGCAGCTTCTTTTGGGGCTACTGCCTGACGCAGGTGGTAGGAGGCCACCTGGGGGACCGGTGAGCTGCGCTGCTCCCCACGCGGGGTTGGACTGCCTTGGGGCCGGGGCTCCTGCAGATTGAATGTGCACCTGCCCACCCCCACCAAGCAACACAGGAGCTGGGAGAGCCGGGCTCCACGGGGGAGGCCAGAAGGGTGGTGCGGGCAGGTGCACAGCTCCCCCGGGGGCGCTCAGCACCCTGAGGAGCCCCCGGCAGCCCAGTGCGGTGCTTGTCGGGACAGATGGACAGGCTGGACTGCACTCCTACCGTCGGCCTCTTCTGCAGAGGAGGACAAGGCAGAGCCTGTGTGGGCTCTGGCTGTGGTTTCTGCGGGTGGGATCTTCTCAGCCTGCCCGGCTGTCTGGCCGCCGCGCTCCTGTCACTGTCCCCCTGTCCTTCTGCAGGATCGGCGGGGAGAAGGTCATCCTGCTGTCCGCCTGCGCCTGGGGCTTCCTCACCGCTGCCACCCCACTGCTCACCCACCTCAGCGGCGCGCACCTGGTCTTCATGACCTTCTCGCGCATCCTCACGGGCTTGCTCCAAGGTAGGGCTGCCTCATAGCGTCCCTCCTGGTCTCAGCCGTGGGAGAGCAAAGCGGGTGCACACGTTGTCCACACGCGTGTGTGAGTGCACATGCGTGCACATGCCTGTCCTCTCGAGTGCTCCCACATGGGATGGGCCCTAGATCAGAGGAGGCATGTCCACGGCCCTGTGTGGCCGTTGATAGGGTGGCCAGAGCTTCGGGCCTGGCTGTGCGGCCCTGGGCAGGGCAGCGGGAGTGTGGACTGCGCTGGCAGACGCCCGCTCTCAGCGACTCTCACCGGCTGGTTTGCCTGCCCTGGAGACACCTCCCAGCCTGGCACATTCTAACATCAGACGCCCTCCTCTGCTCCAGAGACATGGCGGCAGCCAGCCTGGTGTGTGGTAACTGTCGCCACCATGGCCCGCGGCGCAGTGGGGATTTGCTGAGTGTCCGCGTGTTGTGGGCACAGGCTGCCCCCGGGGCCAACCCAGGACCGACACCTCTCCCAATGTGCTAACCAGCCCTGGCAGTCTGGCTTACTGGCCGTTGGCCCCTGCAGGAGCCGGCTCTCGGGGTGCCCAGCCAGGTGGCCCTCAGCTCAGGCCATGTCCCCATCTTCCCAGGAGGCCAGTCTGTGGCCCAGTACAGGGGGCTCGAGGGGCAGCCATCACTCTGGGTGACTGGCAGTTGGCGGGGGCTGGAGAGGTGGGACCCTGATGGGAAGGCGAAGTCCCATCTCACCCGCTGGCCTCTTAGTTCTTCCTGGTACTTTTAGAGAAAAGCATGGAAAAGGGAACCACAAAATCAGATTTTGGAAAATCAAAATCAAAATCAGATTGAAATCATTGTAGACTTACAGGAAGTTTTAAGGAAACTTCAGCCAAGCTCCCTTCCTGCCCCCGCACAGCGATGGCCGGGGGGTGTTCAAGGCAGGGTCACACGGGGCGCTGCGGCTGCACAAGGCTGTGCGTGCACCTTGGACGCGAGTGGGCGCGAGTGTGGGCACGAGTATGCACGTGAGTGTGGACGCGAGTGTGGGCGTGCGTGGGCATGAGTGGGTGTCCATGCCAGGACACAGGCTGGTGTGGCTTGGGGCCAGCGTCAGGGTGATGGCAGTAGGAGCCCCAGCTGGGACCCAAAGTCGCTCCCACAGCCCGCGCTGCGAGTGTGCTACTGGCCGGACTGTGAGTGCAGCTGTTTCCCACGCGGGACGCGGGGAGTCTAGCTGAGTCCTGCTGGTCCTTGTGGGTGAGGTCAGCAAGAAGGACACCCCAAACTCGACTCGTCCCAGCCTGGCTCCCACCCTGGCTGGCCCCCCTCGCAGGACCCGGGTGACTCTTGGGGGACACAGCTCTCCACTCGTTTCAGGCGTGTACTTTCCAGCGCTGACCAGCCTGCTGTCCCAGAAGGTGCGAGAGAGCGAGCGAGCGTTCACCTACAGCACCGTGGGGGCCGGCTCCCAGTTTGGGTGAGTCCTGGCCCAGGGACCCCGGGCGACACAGGGTGTGCCCGTGGGGTCCAGGCAGGGACAGGCCACGTGGGCGCATATGCAGCTCAGGGTGACATGGGAGGCTGGTTCTGGGCTGCAGGAGACCTGCCATCCCCGTGCGTCTCGGTGCATGTTCTGTCCCTGGTGCCTGGGCCAGTGGCGTGGCTTTGAGGCCCGTGGGCCGGGGCAGTGGCCAGTCCATTGAGGCTCCTTCCATCTGTGCCGGGGGGGTGGCAAGAGAGGGTGCAGTCCGCTGGGGGCACAGGGCGTGGTCCTGACGTCATGCCCGTGCTCCCGCATGGAGGCCTCACTCAGGGAGAAGGGCCATGTCATTGTGCTGACGGGGCCTCAATGCCCCAGGGCTCAGGCCCCCGATGCCACTGCCCCCAGGATGGAGACAGGAAATCGGAGGGCCGGGGGATGCTGCGGGTGGGCCAGGAGCCACCCAAATAAAACCCAGGGCACCCGTGCCCTGGGAATTCTGGATAAGCTGCATGGGGCAAACTTGTACCACGAAGGATGTGCCATTTTCCTGAAACCCTGCCTCAGCGGGGGGCCCTGGGTCTGTGTCATAGACTGGGAGGCACCGGGAGAGACTCTGCCCCACGGAGGTGCTGAGGGGAAGGCACCCCCGCGCCTGCCGGCCCTGCTTTCCCTCCTCCGTCCCCTCTTTAACTGTCCTGGCTGCGGCTCTGCGGACGGCCTGGCATGCGGGAGGGCCGGCCCCACGGGGGTGCCTGGAACCCCGGAGCCGCCAGGCATCCAGCTGTTGTGCTCGGCTGTGCTGCTTCTGGGTTTAGGAATCGCAGAATGTCGGCTTGTGTGCCTGTGAGATGGACAACAGGGGGTTCCCTTTGAGTCCCCGACACCGTCCTTTTATCTCCGCCGCCTTTTTAGTTTAGAAGTCACACCACCATGGGGACCGGCTTGCGGGCGGGGAGCGAGGAATTAGAGCAGTGCGGGGATCCCGGGTCCAAGGCATCCAGAAGTCTCCCCAAATTCTCCAAACCCCTCACAAAACATGCTCAGATGGGGCCTTCCGGGCCTGCTTTCCTGGTGGCAAGGTCCCACGGGGCAGGGGCGGGGGTTCTCAGAGGCATCACCTGGCCTGAGTGGAGTCTGGGGTCATGGCCACACCACTGTCTGTCCTCCAGGATGCTGGTGACAGGGGCCGTGGGCTCCCTCCTCCTGGACCGGTATGGCTGGCCAAGTGTCTTCTACTTCTCTGGTGGCCTCACGCTGCTGTGGGTGTGTTACGTATACAGGTGCCTGCTGAATGGAAAAGGTACTGTGGCCAGCAAACACAGCTGCCCTGGGAGGGGCGAGGGCCAGGTGCCCGTGCCCCCGCCCCCATAGTCGCTTGCCGTCCGCTGGACTCAGGACCCCGACCTGCGGCTTTGCCCCACTTGGAGCCTGAGGAAAGTGCCCACTCTCAGGCCCATGCAGGCACGCAGGGACCGCCGCCCCCCCAGGCACGGGCAGCTGGGGGGGGCAGCTGGTCTGAGGGTGGCAGGAAACAGGGCTTGGGAGATCGGAGGGCAGGGGAAGGACTGAGGGTCCACACAAGTGTGGGGCCTCCAAGGTAAATGCCGACAGCCCAGGATGCGTGCAGGGAGGACAGCGTGGTGGGGCCCACACACAGGCCGGGCCCACGGGAGCTGCCCCCCACAGGAGCCAGTTGGCAGCAAGCCGGGCTGTGCCCTGATGGTGAGGATCTTTCATGTGCAAATGCCCTGCTCCCCTCAGACCTCATCCTGGCCTTGGGCATCTTGGCGCAAGGCCTGCCGATGTCCAGGCACACCAAAGTTCCCTGGAGACGGCTTTTCCGGAAGCCTTCAGTCTGGTGAGCATCGGGACCACAGTGCGTGTGGGGGTGCGGCTGGATAGGGTCGAGCGTGGTGGGTCTTGGGTGTTCCCTGGTGTGAGTCCACCCCGGCTCCTGACCTCCACGCCTGGGCCCTGTGGGGCGCATGGGGGGCCGTGCTCACAAGAGCACCCCTTGGGCAGGGCTGGGGTACAGACGGACGCTGAGCCTGGCACCTGTCCGCAGGGCAGCCATCTCCTCGCAGCTGTCGTCAGCCTGCTCCTTCTTCGTCCTGCTCTCCTGGCTTCCCACCTTCTTTCAGGAGACGTTCCCCAGCTCCAAGGTGGGTGAGCCGTGCCAGCACTCTCAGGGACAGGGGGCGCCGCAGACCAGGGCTGGGACTCGGTGTCGGCTCCGGCATGCGGACATGGCCCTGTGATGTCCACCCCCAGCCTCACGGCTGGCACTTGGGCCTGGCGGGGCGGTGTCCTGCCGCCACGGCCTTTGCTCCCGGGACGGACCCTGAACACCCCCTACAGCTCGGCAGCCGTTCTGTGGATGGTCGTTCTGAGGGTGGGCCAGCGGGGTCGGGACGTGGGCAGGGGTGTCCCCTGCCGGGCAGCCTGGTATACACCAGCCCAGCCGTCCGGCCACCCTCCCCATCTGGTGACCAGGACCCCCCCACGGCGGGCCCGCACCTGCAGCTCAGCCGGGTCACGGTGTGGGGAGCCACAGGGGAGGCTCGGCCTGCAGGGAGACCGCGCTGGTGGGCCCAGAGCTTGGCCAGTAGGGGGACCGTCAGGGCCAAAGAGGCCCCCAAGCCCGGAAGCCCAGCCTGTGTGGGGGAGAAACTTCCTGGGCATCAGGGGCCTTGGGCAGCCACCCGGCCTGTGCAAACTGTCCCCTCTGAGGCCTCCCTCCTTCCTGCAGGGTTGGGTCTTCAACGTGGTGCCCTGGCTGGTGGCGATTCCCGCCAGTCTGTTCAGCGGGTTTCTGTCTGACCATCTTATCAATCAGGGTGAGCTGTGGGGGAGGGGCCACTGGGAACCAGCCCGGACTTTGCCACACTTGGGGGGCGGGAGGCACCCCTCCTGGGGAGTTCTACAAGGATGGGAAGGGGCCTTGCCCCTGAGGACCTCCTGTCAGCATGAGACCCCAGCCTCAGTTTCCCTGGGGGAGTGGGGCGCCGTGAGAGGACCCGAGTCCTGTGGTTGTGGCGTTCCTCCCCAGGGGCTGGATGCGGCCCCGACCTTCTTCAGAGGAGGAGAGGTCATCTGATGGGGTCAGAGGTCATAAGTCGGGGTGGGCTGTGTGCGTGAGCCCCAGTGAGCACCCCCTGAGGGTGAAGAGCTCGGACGTGCTTGGACGTCCTGGTCACCCAAGTGCTGTCCGCACACGGTGGGAGGAGGAGATGCTGCGGAGACACGTGCAGAAAGCGCGTCGGTGACCATCCCAACCGCCTTCCCTCTGTGCGTCTGCTGCACCGCATCCTGGAGGGTCCTCTAGGGGCACGCCCAGTGCAGGGCTCGCACATGGATACACACACGCGGACGCACTGACACGCGGGCTCCCGCACTCACACTGCACCTGTGGTCACACGCGCACACACACACGCGCGCATGCACGGCACCTGCACACATGACTCAATGCTCTCACGCGCTCACACGTGTGCACACATGCTCACAAGCGCTCACATCGCACCTGCACACGAGACACACTCATGCACACGTGCACGCACGTGCTCTCACATGCACACGCACACGTGTGCACCGAGCCCACAGGACACCGGGAGCAGGTACATACTCACGTGTGTACACACGCCTCCTGCACAACGAGGGACACCCTACCTCGAGCCCAGGGCCTGTCCCTCCCCTCCCTGCTCCCTCTCTGCAGCCGCGCCGGCTGGGACCCACCAGGGGCCGTCAGGGGCTCAGCACAAATGGGCCGATGGGACCGTCTCCCCGTCTCCCTCTGCTCAGGTTACAGGACCATCACCGTGCGGAAGTTCATGCAGGTAGAGAGGGGGTGGGATGAGTCTCTTTGGACACCCGTTTGGTTCCTGGGACCCGAGGGGTTTGACCTCCAGTTACCCGACCCAGAAGGCATTTGGAGGGTGCCCTAGACCAGTGCTGGAGGCTGGCTTGGCTGACTTGAGCGCTTCTCCCAGCTGTGTTGGTGGGTTCTCTGTGCCGCTGAGCCTGGCACCATGTCCGGGCCTGGCTGCTCCCATTCCCCTCTCAGTCTGACCAGTGGGGCTGGCTTATCATGGAGCCTTGCGTCACACATCCCCAGGAGCGGGGGACTTTCCAGTGTCTGCCACGGCCTGTGCCCTGCCACCCCCTTTCTCCCGCAGGTGATGGGCCTTGGGCTGTCCAGCGTGTTCGCCCTGTGTTTGGGTCACACCTCCAGTTTCTGTACGTCTGTGGTCTTTGCGTCTGCGTCCATTGGCCTGCAGACCTTTAACCACAGGTAAGTGCTGGGCACCCCCCACCAGAGCTGTCCCATGCTGCCCACGGGCACCTGGCAGCATCCCTGGCTGCTGGCATCTGGGTGTGTGGGAGAAGACATCTGGCTCAGGCTCACCTGAAAGCGAGCCACGGGGGCCCACGTTTTTCCAGGTATCAAGCTTGCGTGGACCCGAGATATTGGGAAAAACTAGATTTGCAGCTAGGGAGGGGCTGGGGAGGAGCGCCCTCTGGCCCCTTTCCTCTGGTTCAGTGGCCCTCCTGAGGTGCTCAGCAGGCCCAGCATTTGACAAGGAAGATGTCACTGGAAATTGTTTTAGCAATCAGCCGCTTAATGGTTTTCAAATTAGTAGACAGCAAGTGACTGTGCATTCGAACAAGCTTGTCTTCCCATTGTTCGTTTCATCCTGGGAGTGGACTCCTGCACTGTGTCGTGGTGGGAATGGGACAGCAGGGTGGGCACGATGGCCTGAGTGGGGCTATGCCCCTGGTGTGGTCTCGAATCCCGGTGCCCCAGCGTGGGCTCAGGTCTGAGGACCCACTTGGCAGTTTCTAGGCTCCAGATGCTCAGAGGACAGCCCTGGGCATAGGGGAGTGGCAGCTGTCCCGGGGTCACTGCTTTCCTCTCTCCTGTAGTGGCATTTCAGTCAACATCCAGGACCTGGCTCCATCCTGTGCCGGCTTTCTGTTTGGTGAGAACCCCTGGCCCCTGTTTGAATAGGAAGTGACTGTTCCCCCACAGGCATCCCTCACCCAGCCTCACCCCTCCCTGGGCCCCTAGGGACCGTCCCAGGGTAGGGGGACCTCCTGTGACCTCCTCTGTCCTGTTCACAGGTGTGGCCAACACAGCTGGGGCCTTGGCAGGTGAGAGGCAGGTGTGGTGCCTCCTGGTGGCCCCGCCCCCATGTCTCCCCACCCCTCGGGTACCCCAGCCCTGCAGAGTGGGCATGGTGCCCCTGAGGGTCTCACAGTGCCACACCAGTGGGGAGGGGAGAGTGCAGACCTTGGAGCTGGCAGGGCGAGAACCCAGCCACTTTCCACGGTGTCCGCTTTTCTGATGGCGTACCCCAGCCCCCATGAGACCCACAGATGTGAGTCAAATCCTTGAGGCCCAGGGTTCGCGGGGTTGAGTGTCTGGATGATAATGTTGGGGCTCATTCTCCATGGGGGCTGGAGAGGGACCTGTTGGAGGGGGGCGGTATCTTGGGCAGCCCATGAGGTCTCTGGCCCTCCGAGACCCTCCGAGGCCGGCCTTCCCTCTGCCTGGCGGTGTGGACCCCTGAGTTCAGGTTCCGTCCCTCAGGCCGGCCCTGGCCTTTCCTCCTGGAGCCCCGGCACCAGATGCCCTCCTCGGGACCGCCTTGGAGTGCTCGGCCTGTCCGCCCCCATCCGCTGCAGGTGTCGTGGGCGTGAGCCTGGGGGGCTATCTCCTCGAGACCACAGGCTCCTGGACATCCATGTTCAACCTGGTGGCAGCCGTCGGCAGCCTGGGGCTGTGCACTTTCCTGCTGTTTGGAGAGGCCCAGCGGGTGGACCTGAGCCCTGCCCGCGAGGACCTCTAGCTGCCCCTGCCCTATGGTTCCTTCAGTGCCGTCTCCCTTGGGTGACAGTCTGTTTGCGAGCCTCCCGCTCTGGACGGAGCGAGCAGAGGGAGGGTGAGCCGTAGCCGCGTCGGGCAGCTCTGGGGGAGCCTCGGTTTCTCCAGTGAGGCGATCGTGCCCTCCCCCAGGGCTCGTGGCCTGTCAGTGGGAGGAGGAATTAGTATTTTTAATAGTGGCTGTGTCGTCACACACGCAGTCTGTTCCAGGCAGACCCACGGGCCCCCGAGGTCATGACGGTGGGAGGGTTGCCCGTCACTGCAGGGGCTGGGGCACCGCTGGCCGAGACTCACCCGCCCCCCACCCCCGGCACGTGAGGCCGGATCATTCTTCGTGGGGAGAGGGGGACCGTCCTGTGCACTGTGGTTGCATACCTGGCCCCCACCTACAAGGTGACCCACCCCCACTCATGACAACCAGCATTGGCTCCTGGCATCACCACGTGTCCCCAGGGGAACCACCCATGGGTGGGAACCACAGCTCTCATGAAGGCCATTAGCAGCTGTGGCATCAATGCTTCTCCAGGAAGCCAGACTGAGACCCCGATTCAGTGGGCGGGCCGTGGACTAGATGCCCATCTTTGGGGACCCACCCCGCCTCCCCTGTGGGTCCTTGGCACTGGCAAAGTGTTCTGCCTCCCTGGCAGCCACTGAAGCCAGCATAAGGGGACTGTGGGTCTCTCTCCTGCCCAGGGTGCTCCCTGGGATCAGAGAGCCTCCCGCATCCTCCTTCTCTCCTAACAGAGGAACTGGTTGCCTTGGGGATTAGTAACAGGTCCTGCAAGATGTATACATAGAAAACAGAAACTGAGAACGTCAAAGAATCACCCCGGATTTATTTAAATGATGGCTATTAAACTGGAAGAGGAAGACTGTTACTTTATTACCCTTTCTTTCTTTCTTTCTTTCTTTCTTTCTTTCTTTCTTTCTTTCTTTCTTTCTTTCTTTTCTTTCTTTCTTTCTTTTTTTTAAAGAATAACCACTAGGAGGAGAGCTTTATTGGGCTCGCAGCCCAGGAAGCCTGCAGAGGTTGTGGGCAGGTGGAGGAGAATGAGCAGGGGAGAGGGGAGGGGTGGCTAGTGCTCCACTGCCTGCCGCAGGCACCCCCAGAATCGGGCCGCAGGGCCGGGGAGCTCTCCACGAGGATGGCGGGCATCTTTCCCTGTTTCTCCCTCTGCTGGATCAGAAAGAACATGAAAGAAAGATTCCTGGTTCCCAGACTGTTCTCTGGCCTCCGTGGCTTTGACCAGGGATGCACTAGGAATATTACTTTTCCACAAAGGCCTTCGCGGTCCTTGGTTGGAGGTTTTACTGAACCACCCTGGCGGGCGATGGCGGAGCCCAGCCCCGGAGACTCCCTGTGGCCAGAGTCCCGCGGCACCCGGCATGGTCGGGTCCTCGGTTGCTGTAGCTGGGCTCTCCTTGTTCCCGGGCGCGCACCGAGTAGGGTCCTAGCACAGCCGTCCCCACCAACCGTTTCCGGAATCTTCCACCCTCCCCACCTGAAACTCTGTCCCCGTTAAACGACATTCCCTTGCCCTGCTCGCAGGCACTTGTGCCCACTGTCCACATTCTGTCCCCGTGGATGTGGAGGCTCTGGGTCCCTCACAGCATGGGACTTGTGCAGTAAGTGTCCTTCCGTGACTGGCCTGTTCCACGGAGCATGATGGCCTCCAGGGGTGTCCACCCGGAAGCAGGCTCCAGAGTTCCCCTCCCTTTTCAGGCTGAGCCATACTCCACTGGGTGGACAGGCCACATTTTGTTCCTCCGTTCCTCCGTGGACGGACACGGGTTGTTTCCACCTCTCGGCTGCTGCGAACATGGGCGTCTCTAACCCGTAGCGAGCCGTAAGCTCTTTGAGGGCATAACGAGGAGGTGGCCCTTCCCACCCTTCCTCGGTCTTGCAGGGTCTAGGACTTTGAGCCCCTGAACAAATGTGGGACTCAGGAGGCAAAGGTGGGTCTGGTCAGAAGGGGAGCCTGAGACTCATGTGTGTCAGCCAAGGCCCTGGCCTCTTGAATGCCACAGGGGTCCCCTCGGGTCACTTCCTCAACATCGGAGGAGGGAGGCTGGTACGTGGGATTTGGGGGACACAGGCCTGGTGCCCGGCAGAGGGGCCCAGCTCCTCCCAGCACTGCCGTCCCTGGTCTGGAGCATCCTGGAGCCGGGTGCGCTCTCCGTACCCCACCCAAGGTCAGTGGTGGACCTCGGTCAGGCCTCCCCAGAGTCTGGGGGACATGGCTGCCGGCAGGGAGGGTGCTGGTGGCAAAGGGGTGCTGGAGGGTGGTGGGCGGCAGCCCTGGGCGGAGTGCTAGATGCCACACGCAGGTTGGGACATATTCCTGCCCTGGCCCCTGCTCCGGCAGGTCACACCGGCTGATGGGGACGGGTCCAGCGGCGACACGGGCGGGGGGCCAAGAGCGCAGAGCTGTGGCCACCTCCTTCAGCACACACTGAACCGAGCCGCCCAACCACTGCTGAGCCCAGAGGAGGGGCTCCAACCCCCTGGGTTCTGGAGGGGGGTGTGCACCTGCGCTTGGGGCACCTGGGTGCGCCTTGGGAGGCCCAGGCTGCTGCCGCCCACAGCTGGCCGACAGAGGGCGCCGTCGGACAGGGCTGTGTCCCGAGGCTGGTCCAGAGCCAGACCCTGGTTGCCGTCCTTTTGGCGCCACGTGAGGACCACCTCCCGGCCTCCACCCCTGTCCACCCCCGGCTCCAGTCTGGCTGCTCAGTGCCCGCGGCAGGCGGAGCTCCCAGCGCTGGGCTGCACCCCGGGGACTGTTGAGAGGACAATGCGGTGCAGGGGTTGTGTGACCACTGCAGCAGGGGCGGGGGGGGGGGCGCTGGGACGGCTCTGGAACAGGGCGATTAACTGGCCAGGGAGTGGAGCTCCAGGGCTCATCCCCCTCCCCCTTCCCCAGGGCTGGGGACCCTGGGTCCTCAGGGGCACAGGCTTCCTTGAGAGGGGCTGTCCTCCCACCTGAGCAAGCAGGCAGTGGGACTGTGGGAGTTCAGACTCGGGGAACAGTGGCCTCCACAGGAGATCCCGCCAGTGCTGGTCCCGGCTGCCTCCCGGGGGCCCTCCCTTCATCTCCCACCCATGTACAGGACCGTCCTCTCCTGGTCACCACAAAGGACACTTTTCCCTCATTTCTCACTTTTTTTCTTTCTTTTTTTTAGAAAGAGAGTGTGAGCTGGTGGGGGGCATGGGAGGAGAGGCAGAGGGAGAGGGAGAACCCCAAGCAGGGTTCTGCTCAGAGCGGAGCCGGGAGGACTATTGGATCTCACAGCCCTGAGGCCACCAGCTGAGCCACAATCAAGAGTCTGATGCTCAAAGGACTGAGCCCGGGCGCCCCTCCCTCACGTCTTTAATAGGCACTTAAGATTCGTAATTAACATGGGAACAGCCCCCCACTTCTCTCCTTGCCTTCCTTGGCCCTGTTTCTGGCTTTGTCCTTCCGCTGTAGGACTACAGTGCCCTGGGGGTCCGCACTTGCCCCCTCGGGGACTCCTGGGCCTGCTCCCTCCCAGTGGGTCCTCCCTCAGAACCAGGGGGACTTGCGGAGGCCTGCCCAGGCTGCGCCCTGTCCCGACCATCTGCAGTGGGTCATTCCGTCACCCTCTTCCGGCGCCCGAGGAAGGAGAGATGAGCGACTCGTTGGGCGGCACTTTCGCGGGGATTTACTTTATTATGTTTAATTGAAAAGCATTGAGGTGGCTGCATGAATATTTAGCATGGCTGCTGCTGGTGCGGGAGCGGGTCTGATCCTGGGACGCGCCCCAGCACGGGACCTGTCACAGGGGGAGTGAGGTGGGGAAGCTATTAATTGAAATAGCTTCATTAATTAGTAATTAACAGCAGGGAGATGACTGTGTTGCATGTCCTATTTCAGTGGATGCCCTTCATGTGTTATGGGGCCTTTAATTAAAGGACGTGCATTTTAATTAAAGGCAAGCATGGCCCTTTGGCCTTTGGAATACAAAAGACACTCCCAAGTTTCAAAGAAGCCGTCAGGGAGGCTGGTCCAGGTGGCGGAGAGTCGCGTCCTCCGTGTTGGACCCCTTCGCCCTCTAGGCCCTCCCTGGGCAGTGACCCCGGGCTGATCCCCCTTCGAGTCTGGCTAGCGCCCTTCCTGAGCCCACGGTGGTGGCCTTTGGGGCTGTGAGTAGGGGCTGCGTGCTGGGCAGAGACGCCCTGGGCCAGTGCTGAGCCTGCACTGTCCACTTGCCCCAGGCTCCACATCTCTGCCTGTCCTGAGGGACCCGTGGGAGGACTGGGACCAGCACTTACCCACAGCTGTGCCTAGAACCGGTGGGGGTGGGCCAGGGTGGGAGACACTCAGCCTGCTCCTAACATCCTGGGATCCAGGTGGGGTGTTTCCTCTCACTGGCCAGGGCCCAGCAGGCAGATCTGAGCCTGCCAGCCAGCGGGCACCTGCAGAGACCTTGGGGTCCCTTCCTGACAATAACGATGTAACTGGGCAGCTCAGGACCCACACCCCTGTCCTGCTCTCTCCGTCTCTGCCTCTGTCCCCCAGAGTGTCCTGTGCCCGTCACCCTGACCGCCTCCTGAAAGACATTTGCTGAGGTCACAGAGACAGCTGGGTCTGAGCCTGGGGGGTGGGGCAGAGGGTAGACTCCAGGCCCTGCATGTCCTCCCAGCCTTCAGACCGGGCGCCTGGGGTCGCTCGGATGTACCTCCCCTTTGCCCTGCCTATATTGTCCACCTCGAGATCTTGGCCCGGCCTCTGTCTCTGCCTAGATCACCCCGCCCCCCCATCCAGCAGACGGGTGCTCGCACACACACACGTACACATGCACACCTGTACACGCAGACACACACACCCAGCACTGGTGTGGTGGAGGTTCCCACTAGACAGGGGCTCGGAGGGCAGAACTCATGAATGGTGCTGCTTCGTGCCCCCAGCCTGGGGTCTGTCCTGGGGGTTCCTGGGTGGAGGGCTCCGTGGAAG